TATATATATTGTCATTTAAAAAGTATCCGCGGTTTTTTCATTCAAAAATTGAACAAACCGCGGATACTTTTTAAATGACCTAATATATTTTGTAATGATTTCTTTCGTGTTCCCAATGTTTCCAAGATAAACAATATACTATTCGACTCGCGCTTAAGTAATTCCTTAATATAATATATAATCTATGCATCTTAAAACGTTTTTATTTTGGCAGAAAAATAACTAAAACCTAATATCCTTCTTTAAAAGCTAATGGAAAATTATCATGTGTATTAAGAGTTAATGTTAATTATCATAGATATCAGTTTAATTATATAATACCATATTGTTTTAATATTGGTATAATTTCATACAAATAATTGATTTGTCATAATGTAAATTCAAAATAAAATAAAATAAACAAAATAACTTATACTGGCGTACATCGTTTGGAATAATGGGGAAAGTTTATGGCGGATGGCGGTTGGTCAAATTCGCTGATCCAAGTCTCTCCGTTTTTACCCTTCTGAATCAGATTTAATACTGCAAGTGCCACGTTATCACTTGTCTGTTTCGGCAAATTCTCCATACCAGCGATCTTGTTGATTACTATAGAGCGAATGGAGTCATAAACTCTACTGTTGATGTTTATGGTTAATGGTGTTGCTGTTAAGCCCGGACACATGATAATAACTCGCACTTCAGTCTTGTCGTACATACTTGCCAGAGATTGGCTGAATCCCAAAACAGCACATTTCGAAGCGCTGTATATTGGAAAAAAGTAACCTGAAAAAAGCGTTTTTATGAGAGCCGAACTAGATATTTTATACTAATATATAATTTATTATAACTTTTATTAATGTTATGAGTAACAATGTCAACATCAAATATTTTTGTACGACAAAAGATTTATATCAAAATAATTTTCAAGTGTGAACTGATAATTTTCAAGTATTTGATTTATTTAATAATTTGAAGAATATTGAATAACTAAATATTTATATACATTACATTTATTACATATATTGAATAACTTAATATTTTTGTAACACTGAGAATAATCTATTATTGAAAATTCGAAATGTTTGTTGATGAATTACGTAATATTACTATATTAAAAGTAAAAATTATACATATATTAGTATAAAATTGCTTGGTTTATAAGTTTTTTTTATGATATTTAAATTTATTTATATAATCCTGTTTATAATTTAAATTAAATTTTAAAATAACCTGGATCTAATGCAGCTACGGATGCAATATTCACGATTACACCGCCTTTACCACCTTTATGCTTCCCCATATAATCGAATGCCATCATAGAGTTGTGAATTAGTGCCTTAATATTAAGATCGATCGTTTTCTCCCAATAGTTATCGTTAAATATAGCAGCATTGTTAATAACAATATCAAGTCCTTTGAATGTATCAACAATCTTCTTGAACGTCTTCTCTAAATCATCAGCCTTTGTTATGTCGCAGGCAATGAAAACGACACGGCCCTTCCCAAATTCGTTCTCCAAAGTAGTCGCCGCATTTTGGCCGTTTGATGTTGATAGATCGATCATAGCAATGCTTTTTGCACCATTGCGAAGTAGTATTTCGACGAACTTGTATCCTAATCCGCCAGCTGCTCCAGTGATCATTACAGTTTTATCACGTACGTCGTACATTATACTGATTTCTTGAAGACTTCGACGTGAGATATTGCAGCAAGATGTGAGATTCTTTAGCAAATGGCAATACACTGTCTATATAGTATCCACCTATTTTAATACTTCTTTTGATGACATATGAACGATGATTTGTTCATGTGTCGGATTATTCGTCTGCAAATCTGTTCCTGGTAAAAAATTTTTTATGCATGAATATGTATAAATATGTATAAACGCATAAATATTCATATACACATAATATATGAATATATAATAATATAATAATATAATAAATATTCATATATAATTATATATGTATTATACATGTATAATTATATATGAAATATGTCCATACATTGCAATGTAATAAATAAGTCAAAGCTTTTTTAAACGAACAATTATAGTTATTCATAAAATAAAATTTGTTTTTTAATGAAGTATAATGATATGAAGTTTTTCAAAGTTCAGTAATATGAAGTTTTGACCTACAAAATCTTCCTCAGTAAAATATACAACAACATTTTTATATAACCCCTTACAAAGTTAACTTATAATAATACACAATAATAAATATTATCGCTCTAGGCTAATCTTACATAACTTATGAAACAAAGAACATAAAAACCACTGCACAAGATATTATTTGTGATATTTAATTATCATTACATTAATAAACCATTAGACGTTTCAGCCACAATCTGGCCATCTTCAGTAAATTCACAATATTCTTAAAACACAGACTTACATATTATATATCTGACATTAAATTCAACCGTCGTGTAATATAACTATGTATAAATGTATAACACATATAACTACATGTTCTTTCATCATGTGAAGGTGCCTCATACAACAATGTTGCAGCGTCAATTGTCATATTACGAAATATGTAAAACAAGAATTTCCAGATTCTGTTTTACAGCAAAAAAATGATGAATCTCAAGTACATTCTTTACACAGATGGAAATTTGTCGTGATATTGTGTGTTATTATTTCCTAACACACAATGTCATGACAAATCTTGCTCTTCTTTTCATAAGTTTTGAATTATAAACACGTTCGTTTTTATTATGTATTTTAATCTTACTTATTTTTTCATTTAGATGTTACGGATCGAAATAGGTAACTCAGTCAGAAGTTTGAAGTTCAAATTATAAAGTGTGTTTTACTAATCCTTAGTTATCGAAAATCCAGCTCAGTCAACGATTTCATAAAAAATGTACAACAATCGAGAATTTCTTCAACGACTAACCTAATTATATTCTGTATAATAAATGTCAATTTATAATTAAATGATTAGTATAAGTTAATTGAATAATGAGAAATATTATATTAATAACTTACGTTAATTTATATAGAATAGTCTTGAATTAAAATCGAAGTCAAAAACTGTGTTCTAAAACAGCTTTTGCTTGTTATACGTTTTAAAACGGACTGATATTATGAGTCAGAGAATATATATCGTTAAGTCGTGACATAAACAAGTATGTTCGAAAATGTTACAATTAGCATATGTTGTCAAGTATGTTAAAATAAGATCGATCCAACAAGTGTTCTTCATTAAATTTATGTCGTTTTTTTGTTCTTTTATGTAAATCATTTCCGAAATGGTTCTTTTTTTCGGAGTCTCATGATTTAAAATTTCGACGTTTTCCTAATCAAAGCTGTGATTGGAATGTATGTTTCGTTCGCAATTATATGTTTCGTGACCACTGAATGTTTGGATTGATCTAATTTTATATTGTTATGATGCTCTTTAATTTAGCTGTCTTTTTGTTTGTCCGACATAAGAGACGTCACGATCATTACAAGTGATTTTATAAATTACATTATTATTTTTTTGATGTTGATTTTTATCTTTTTGTGTCTTTATAAACCTATTCAATTTGTAAAGACAACGATATTCTATCATAGTTTTAGATTTATTTATTATATTAATAATTTTATTCATAATTGATCTAACGTATGGAAATAAGATCTAAAATGGTAATCGAGAGTAATAAATTCAAATACTGAAAATGAAGGTGAGACAATAAGGAACATGATTGTATTTTCATACGTTAGATCAATTATAAATTACTTCTACCATTCAACAATTCGAACTTTTGTATTCGAATCTTTCGTTAATGGTAGTAAAGATTATGTTTAATGTAACCATAATACGATTACATCACAAGTCACGGTCGCATGTCGCTTAATTTGATTTTATAATTTTTAATTTTAAGTGTATATTATCAATGTTCTTAATTGGATAATAATTGAATGATATTGAGAAGGATCCGCAGTAGGATCGAAACGTCTATTGTATATTATGTATATTAATTAAATAAATCCATTACACATGGACATCCAGTGTTCGGCTCTCGCATTATCATTCTCCGATTTATTTTACAAATATTGTGTGCTGTTTAGGTATAATGTGAGAATGTTATTTTATTGAAAATATTTTTATTAAATTTATTTTTATTATATATTTAGTCAATTTTTTAATTATTGTTATATAAGTCAAATAATTCGGTTCACTTGTTAAGCGGAGAAATGTTTCAACTGAAAAATTTGTCTTATGAAGAACAACATTCGGTGATAATCTTTTTCTAATCGTTGAAGGCATCATGTCGATTGATATTCATTTCATTTTCCATGATATACAAGATCTGTTTTCTGTGGCTGAACTAGTGTATACTTTTTGAACTTAAAATAAGATAGGAAAGCGAAGAAAAAGAATTCTAGTAGTACAGGAATAGAAAATAGATCAACAATTTTCACCGTACACGACAATCATTCTACGATGAATGTTGGTATCTTCAGCGATTAAAAAATATATATCATACGCACGTTGATGAAATCAATGATAACTCATTCATGATGAAATTTGTTGATCAAATTCGTTGATCAAATTCATTTATAAAATTTTCCAGTCGGAACATCATTTCATCATACTTAATAAGTAAACTGGATGACAACGTAAAGCAATTAATTGTGCTCGTTATCAACGTCTTTTATCTAAGGACACGTGATATCACATACACGTAACACAGCATATGTAATATAAAATATGCGTAACAAGTTTTGATATCTTGTTGGAAGTAACTGTCACAACGCCATTGTTATCTTTGCATTTGATCACATTATACATTCTTATTAATTTGTTTCTTATTTTATAATAGAAAAATAAGAAAATATACATATATATATATATATAGTGAGTGCAAAATGTATTTGAGAAAATATTTTTTGAAAAAACTTTATTTTTAAAAAATAAATATTATCCAGCGAAAATTGAGTCATCGAATTGATATTGAATTGATATCAGTATAATGATTTCAATACTAATTTGACGTTGATTCGACATTTAATTGACGATCATTTCTTGTTGGATAATTAACAATTTATTCATTAAGAATAAAATAGACTGTATTCTTAAAATTATAATATATATATCAAAAAGATGTATTAATTATGGAAAATGTATCATCTGAAAAATAAGCGAAAATTAAAAATTGTATTATTTGAATGCTCAAAAAGTGTTCGTATAATCAAGACATTTAGTTTCTAAAGTCATACATGCGAAATTCGTTTGTTTATGTTAGAACTAAATGTATTTATTGTATAAAATTGCTCATTAATATTTATTCTTTACAAATAAGACTTTTTTACAAAAAATTTCCTTGTACGAATATTGCATGTATGTTATAAAACATATAATCTTGTGCACTAAGAAACTATAATATAATGTTAAAAGATGCGCAATAGTGACAAGAACTTATAGGCCGTAATTCATAGTCAAATTTTACATTTAAGTCTTAAGCGTATTCTATAATATGCTCTTTATTTCCTGTTTTTTTGCTTTTCCCCCCTTTGCAACCGTTTTATCGACAATTGCATTTTTTGCTACGTCTTTCTTTTGTTAACTTTTATCTTTAAATTCGTTAACTTTTATCTTGGGCGACATAAAACAAAAAACCGGATAAGAAGCAAAAAGACAAGATGTAAAAATAGTAAAAAGCAGCAAACAGAAAACGAAAAGCATATTGAAAAGAATAGATTTTAAGTATAGTCTTAATTAAGAAGTCACGAACTAATCAGACCGTATTAGCGTCTTAAGACATTACTTAAGACAATTTTGAAATAAGAACGGACTATGAATTTGCCTATAATTTGAATATTTAGAATAATCGGTTAGAACAAAAAGGAGAAAAAAAGAAGATCGAAAGAAGTTTTATGTAATTACAGAACAGGCCCGTCCTCGTCAGCCAAAATGCTTTCATCTCTCTGCTGTCTCGGTAGCGAGACAAAACGTAAATAACAAAGGATAGACACCAGCATTCCATCTGAATCAGGTCTGTTGCAACGTTGAAATATACAACGTTGAAATATATAACTCATGTTATATCAATATTGCTGCAAACTTCTGTATTTATATTTTCTATAATAAGAAACAAGGATGCTTGAAGAAGATCGGTATCATTATGAGAGTCACAGACAAAGAATAACAAAATAAAAACCGGTTACTATAGTTGCAGATTAAAAGACGAATTCCCTTGGTTCCTTCACTCTACGACACTTATTGTTAGACAGACTTCAAGTATGCATTCTTTGTTATTTACATTCTTTCTCATTATATTAAAACGATGGAGAAGGGCTGCGAAAGGTTTCGGTTCATGAATCGAGTTTTGGACAGGCCTGAATCAAAATATCATAAAATCAAACTTTAATTTGTTAGATGTGTTAATTGTAATTGAATTTCCGACATAATATTTCTAAAATACAGCTGAATATTTTTCTTAATTATTGAACAATTTTTTCCAAATTTAATTTGATAAATATGTCGCTATGATTCGTCATATTGCTATTGTTTTGTTGAAACATTATGTCGAAATTAAAATTGCGCAATTATCAATATTTAAGAAAAGATCAGAGTGTCTACATCCTTTTTTATAAAAATACTCGTATATCTTTTTTATACTCGTAAATATACTCGTATAATTGCAGATTACACATTTTATCAAGATTTCGTCATATAATTTTATAAATGTTGTCGGGACAACATTTATGAAATTAATAAGCATTACTAGTTATGGACTCTCGAAATTAAAATAATGTAGAAAATTAAGCAAATGAGAATTCGTTGTGGTACTTAATGCACAATCATTCCTTCTGTGTATATCTAAATTATATTTTTGACTTGCTGTACACTCAAGTGTATTTATAATAATTTATTAAATTTTTTATAAAGAATTTTAGAGGAGAATCGCTTACTTATTTCCGTATATGGAGTCTTTTCAGATAAAAGTTTCGTTAGATGTATACGAATATATATACGTTCTTATCAAACAAACAAGATTAGAGATAAACATAAAATTTTTCTATGCTAATAAATATAATTTTGTACTATTTCAGAAACTTTATCAGATTTTTAATATAAATTGGAACACTTTTCAAAAGAAGCCGAGAAAGTCTTTTCTATTAAAGAAAATTCTTTACATATGAATCCTGAAATATTTTAAAATTTCTCCAATAATTTTTAATAAAATTTTATCATATCTGAGAAAGTTTAAGATTAATTTTCAGAAATTATATAATAAATCTTAAAAATATTATTATATGTACTTCAAAATTCACACACACACACACACACACATACACACACAAAATTTCAAGAAAAGGTGAAAATTTTCTCATTGGCGTTATTTCTGAAAAGCTTCGAGAAAAATATTTAACCAAGAGTCTCCTACCGTTGCTCCAAAGACCAATCACGATCGAGTTGAATGGTCGTTGAAAATATAGAAGATCGCGTGACAACACCAACGTCACTTTTGGGTCATACGTCCTATGATTCTGAAGGATCGTTCGTTCGCAATAGTTTGTTGTAAATTTTGGAAGTCCAAGAAAGGAAAGAGTTATATACAAGATGGTCAAATACCGCATGTGTCCAGACTATAAGAAGGCCGCTAGCCATTATCATGATTTGCTGGGGAAAGAAGAGACTCGAAATTGACTTTCGTCATTTATGAAAAATGGATTTTATCTACCTGAGAGCTTTGAAAAAAATAGAAAGGCAAAAAGGAATCGTACACTGAAGGCCGAATGGCACAGTGGATTTCTGGGCAAACTGTGAAAAACAGAATTTACAATGCATTGATGATGTAGTGAGGAGAGGAGTAAAGAAGTCTTGAATCAGATTATGACGCTTGATGACGCTTCAACGGATTAACAATTTACTTGTAATTGTTTGAAGATTGTATTTTTGTATTTGCGTGAGTTATATTAAGGTATCTATTAGGCATATTATAATGAATCAGAGCGAAATGAAATAAATTTGGAAAGAATAAAAACTTTCAGGATCATTTATTCATACGAGAAATATTTGTTGTGTGTATTATATATGTATATGTGTATAAAACATTTATATTCCAAATATAAAAAAATATATTTTACATTTAATCACGTAGAAAGCTATCTCTCTTTCTTATAAAATTTATCGTTATGAATACTAAAATAAATATTCGCGTCAAAGCGTGTATACTTAATAAAATCGAGCTATTTGTTGATTTGTATAGATATATATATTATTTTTCATGCTGTGCATCTTGCCATAAGAAATATTACGAAAATTGTACCGTGACAGGAAGTAACGACGATTCTATGCATACTCGAAAATTGGAGACTATCGCGTGACTTTTATTCGGAAGATTTTCTTCTCATGCAACATTATTCCGTAAAAATCAGGATAATATGCCGAGCGGAGTAATCTTTGAAGCATCATATTCTTTCTTGCTGCAATCATTTCTGCATGAAAATATATCACACATATAGAACGTGTGCAGAATGAATTGTTTAACAATAAATTCCTAATTACAAATCGTAAACACGCGATAATAAAAGCTTTTGAGCGCGGCAATGGGCGATAATTGCGATTTAAAATTATAATTCGTTTGCAGAAAGTAATGTGAAATAAAATTATACTTTATTTATTACTTATTTGTCTACATTCATACAATATTTGCTAAGAATCAATTAAGATAAAATTCTTGAAGCTCTATCAACAGAACGAATATAAATTATTTTCCCCTTTGCTCACTCGTATTTATTATTCTTGTGCTTATGGCAATTAAGAGAAAATAAAAGATAAACCTGACGATTTTAAAACTTCATTCTCAGATATTTTGAAACTAGTTTGTGACTTATAGATATAACCTGAGATAGAGATAGATGACCTGAGATAACTTTCTTACTTAAGTAAAGCACAAGATCATCATATAATCTCAAAATAATGACAAAATAGCAAATTTAATTATTAAAAGTTACTTTTTAATTAATCATGACTCATTTTGATGTCATTTCGACGTTATTGTGATTTTATTGTTCTGCTTGGGCTAATTCTCTCAGTCTTTGTATAAAATTAAATATTTATCGGTTGTTTTCGTAAACGTTCGCTCATTTGTGTGACATTAAACATTGGAAGGCTATAACTATAGAAACGAATTTCTCGTAACATATTGTTAAAATAAACGATTAAATTTTGAAAAAGATAACTAAATCTAAAGGACAGCTATTGTGAAATGAAGGATTATCCTTTATAAAAGACGTATGTTTATCGTACTTATGGTCGCATCAATTTCCGTTACATGATCCAGGTAATATTCTGTCGCATTTGTTAGAAAAAAAGTCATTAAAGAGAGTTACTTGTAAAATTCTTAATTTTTCCAGTTGAGAAAACAAATGTGTTGAAATACTGCTAGGTTTTTGTTCTGTATTTTCGTATGCCGGGATCGAACGTGAAAAGCAGAGTAGAACCCGGTGAAACCTTAACGATCATGAAACTCTGTTATAGGCACGAACGCACGCAAGCATGCATGCACGCGAGCAGGCACGCATGCACGCACGCACGTACATACGCACGCACGGCACGCACGCGGCCACGCACGCGGGAATTGTCGGCTATAAGAATAACAGTCGAATGTACGCACGCAAGCACGCACGTAAACACCTGCACGCATGCACACTCAGCTTCGCCTTAATGCGAGCCTATCGTGCCACGAAACGACGCTGCCTTTCGACGTTGCCAACGCTACCCGCGCTTTCTTACGAGAAATATAATATAAACGATTGTGAAATAAACGTATAATGATGGAGCGCCGAATTTACGAATTCGAATTTGAAACTTTTCAAATTTTGCTAGAAAATTCAGCTGATTTTATTTCTATTTATTGCGAGAATTTGTTAATTTTAAGCGTAAATCAAATTTTATAGACATATCATTTGGCTGCTTATTCTTTTTCTTTTTTGTGAGCTTTAAAACGTGAATGTATTAAAATGTATCATATAAATCTAAAGAAATAATTATTAATAGAGTTGTATTATAAAGTTAACATAATATGTATTAAAAAAATATATCACCTAATATATATGATTTCATTGAATATTTTGATAATTATTACAAATCCTAATTTATATAAAATTATAGAAATAATAAAAAGTAGTAGTTTTAAGCCTAATTCATTTTCAATGCAGGAGATTACCCAGGTAGCACAAAGAATTCAAAAGAATTCAGTCGTATGTCATCAATTCTGAGCTTTTCAGAAAAAGAATTCTTTTTGCATCTGAAAATGAATTCAGAATTGATGACACATCATTGTATAAAATAAATGGATTTGCTAAGTTCAGGCACAAATCTACATATAATTTAGAATTTAGAATAGATTTTTATTTGTTTCTTTACGTAATACGTATCATGTAACGTGATAAAACACTCAAAATAACACGCACACATATACAAAATATACATCTATCAATATAATATACAATAAAATAAATCACACAAATATTCATAAAATTTAAATAAATATAACATTTATAATTTTATAATCAACAAATTATAGTTAATAAATTTAAGGGTTATAATATCAAAATAAGATGACTTATAAAGAAATTCTTTTTAAATGGAATTTCCTTCGAAGTTTTACGAAAAACGAATCGTTCAGCGGGCTTAAATTCTGCGTCGAATCCTACATGTGTATTGCGGCAACATATCAAGATAAAAGATTGCAAGAATTATATCTAATAAGCTATTCCGGTCAAGATGCATTTAATTATTTATTCCGTACGGCAAGGCGTAACGTACTAGAATACAGAACGCTGAAGCGTTTCGGGACATTTCGAACTTGGCGCGCGAGCACGAGCCAATACTCGACGAAGTGCGGACGGCCATGCTGCTCGACTGTGGTGAGTGTGGTGTTCTCCCGACAATTCCGACTCCGGCGATGTTTGTGCGTACCTGGCACGACTACGGTCCCACTGTCGCGCTCGTCGTCTCTGTCGTCGCGTGAGAAGGTTCCGCGGACCAGGACATTACCGCACGGTGCGATAGCGTCCCGACAATAACGAGCGTGCCCGTCCGATCTCAGCGCGACATGTCAAGTCAAATATGTCTAAAGTGGAACAGTTTTCTCAGCAATATCGCCACCAGCTTCGAGAGCCTGTGGGAGGAAGAGGGCCTGGTGGACGTGACTCTCACGAGTGACGGACAGTGCCTCACCGCGCACAAGGTGATACTTTCGGCCAGCAGTCCCTTCTTCAAGAAGGTCTTCCAGGTAAGCGACCGTCAAGGTCGTCCTCCTCGTGATCATCCCTGAACGTATCCCTGAGCGTTGTGACGAGACCAGTCATCTTTGGATGCTTCTTCGTTGCTCCGGAACTTGTCCTCGCGTCGCACGCGTGTTGTCATGCCCTCGACAATTGGCGGTAAAACGACGTGTTTGTCAGCTGTCGCGTATAGCCTTCGGAGCACTCTCGCATCGAGGTTAGAAGACTATTACCGAGACTATTATCGAGATAAATCTAACGATTATTGAATACACGCGGCTATTAGCTATTTGGCTCTGCGCCTCTAAGTGGAACAATTTTCTCGCTTATCTCGATTTTTGTCAGCGAATGGTAATGTATCTCTTCCTTTCTTGTTCCTGATGTTTTATGTCAATACTTGATAGATTTAAAACTTGCTGTAACACAAAATGCTAATTTTAGTATTACGAGTTTTATTTATATTCCATTTTTCCTTTGTGAAAATGATAATAAAGTAGCTCTGATTAAAGAAAAGAATTATTCAATTATTATATAGTAATAAAAAAAGGAATAATTCTTGAATTCTTTCTATTAATTGAACCAATATAAAATAATATGTTTTTAAATTTTATAAATATTTCTTCTTATATATATTATATATTACTAATTTAATAAACAATACTATATATTTCTAAAACAATACATTTCTCTTAGAAAATTGTTTATTTGTTTATAATTAAATTTAATTAATTAATTAATGAATTTAAGAAAAATAAAAAGCAGATGGTTTATTGATTAAAAAATTTAAAGAAATAACAAATCTGATAAGTACAAATTCGATTGATTAAGTGATGATATATATTATAATAATTTGAATAATAGTCTAACAGTTTTATTTTTTTATCTTGTAGACAAATCCATGCCAACATCCGGTAATAATACTTCAGGATGTACACTTTAGCGAATTGGAGGCATTATTAATATTTATATATAAAGGAGAGGTAAATATTGAGCAAAAGAATTTACCAGCACTCTTAAAAGCAGCAGAGACATTACAAATTCGAGGCTTGTCTGGTGGAGATATTTTTGCAAAGGAGTCTTACAAACGATTAGCTGAACTAGAACAAGCTGTGGCTGAAGAAGTGCCGCTGAATAAGGAAGAGGCACCTAAAAAGAAACAGAAAGTTAGCAGCAAACAACAAAATAATTCTATCTTGGAAAAAGCACTAACACCTAAAATATTGCAATCGGAAAATACAAATGAATCCGCTGCCAGCGATCAAAGTGGGAAAGATGGAGAGTACATGTTACCAGAAACGTTACCTAATCCAGTATATCATCGATTGGAGATGAAAGTTAGTTCAGAAAATAAGATAACAATGATAAAACAATTATGCGTCACATATAGTGGCGTGTATAAAATATAGCATTCAATCCAAACGCATTTCAGATAGAACCATTGGAAGTGACGGTAGACGATCTCCAGAAACAATCTCCGTTAGATAAGGATCCAGCAGAAAGGCTAGATACAGGACAAGCAGATGGGAATCAAGGTTAGTGCCACATATAAACTAATTAGATTTTTACTATTTTATGCAATTTAGTATGCATTATATAGCAGTTGTATAAATAGCTAGTTCTTATATATTACATTTTATGTTTTTCTATGTTAAAAGATTATGTATTACTATTCACTTAATGAAACACTGAGTCTTCTTTCTTTGCATTTTCGCTGCTGTATTGTTGCTAATGTCTTTGTTTTTTATATTAAGTATAAACTCGTTAAATTAGCTTTTTGAAGCTATAATTTGCATACATAAACTTATTTATTTTGAAGAAATTATATCTTGTATTTTTTAGTTAAAGATTTTTAAAGATATTTAAAGATTGTATTTTTTACTTAAAATTTAATTGTATTTAATGCAAAATTGTGAAAACTAAAATTACATTTTAATATTTTTTTACGATATTAGCATTAAAAAAAGTGTTTTTAAATTTGTTAAATATTCTATAATTGAAAAAAGTAATTTTTTCTCTTAATAATTCTTTGAATTTATAAATTAGTCTATTTAATATTACAAACAACATACATTATGATTTTTATTAGTAATTGAATATGTTAAATTTGATAGATATATATGAGATATTATTAATCTATATGCAAAAAAGAGTTTTATTGAAATAATAAATTTTAATCTAATGCAAATATAATTACATTTTTCTTTTTTGGAAATCAAATATGAGCTATCATTTTAGCATATATGTATTATTTCATCTATTATTTTCATTATCGCATATAATTAATATTACCACATGCACAAATGCTGTATACATTTGTATACACAGTTTCATTGTCTTTGCGTATGCCGGCAGCTACTGTAGTATCAAAGCTTTTTCTTTGGTACTGCAGATCGTAGCTTTTTCGAATATTCTGTTCGCTTTCACCGCATATTCTGTTTTGCTCGTTTTGGCGCGCCACGTTTTCTTAATTTGCTGTGCTGCAATGGCTCCGTGTGATGAAGTAGAGACAAAGATTGCGTGCACGAGTAAAGAGAACTCTATCGAAAAGACAATGAGAGCGACGTAATTGGTGCAAATGGTAAATGTTCCCGTAGCTCATTACATTGTAGCAAAAGTATTTCGCGGAATATTTGATACGGAAGTATAGAAGCGCATTTGATTTATAATGACTGCAATTTGTATAAAAACTGATAGTAATTATTACGATTTTAATTTCTGTAATTCAGAGATTTTATGAGAATGAAGCCGGTTTCGGCATCACGCTTCGATCGGCGGTGCATACGCGTATGTGCGTGCATGCGTGAGCAGTGAGATGGAAGATGCGTGATCCGTCCTTCATTATAGCCTTTAATGTACACTCGCTCGCATTTTCTTTATTGTGCGCGTAATTCACGTGTGTGGAGCAGTCCGTGTCTAAAGCGCGCTGTGCTGATATGTGTGGCAGGATCTGGGAACAGGCTAAGTGGATTCTCGGATGTCAAACCGCTGCTTTACTCGTATCAGCATCTACCTTATGCCGATCTCCTACCAAGTCCGGATATAATCTCAACCTGGGCGTCATCCCGACCGATGGATCATTTGGCCTGCGACCTCATGAAAATCCTCTTTACGCCGGAAGAGAGGATCCTCTGCAATGTCAATGGCAAGATGGGCAAGCAACAGTTCGATAGTAACAAGATACATTTAATTCGGGAGGTCCTCTTGCACTTTAGCGGCATACCGCCTAACAGCCTCGAATGGGAAGAGGCTTGGAAGAATTGCGTAACCAAAATTGACACTAGTAATAGAGGCTTGAAAAGGTATTTGTTTCAGAGACGATCGGTCTACACTCAATGACTAGGGCGTTTTAGGTCAGGGGTCAAACGGAAACGTTTCCACTGGCTGGAATAGGATCGTTCTTGTAAACCCGTCACCCCGTTCGTTCTCACATAAGCGTCATAGGACAACTCGTTCCTCGCTTGTTCCTCTTTGGTATGAGCTTTCGCGCTTTATATTTAGGACACTGTAAAAAAAAAAAAACAATTGATGTAAGTAGAGAGTAAGATTCACGCGCGTGTAGCATGTAGCTAGGGGAAGAAGAGACGGATGGTCCAGTCGATATGGTTAAAATCGCGGATTTAAAGTGAAATAGAGTTGGAACGTGCACTCACCGATCCGCGGTGATGTTTCTAGGCTATAGATTTCGGGGTGACAGGGTGATTAGAAAGAGCATTATAGACGCGATCGAATTATTTATACGCTTCAGGTTCGCCACTCGGCGTGATGGGTGGCGGACAATCGAATAATTCTAAGCCTTCCTCGTAGTTTCTGTTTAACTTTCACTTTATCAAGGGAAATTCTGAAATAGTTTATTTGATAATTTGTTTGATCTCTTCTCTTATGCCACATCTTTTATACTCGCACATCGCGTGTTTAAAGAATCTCCCCGCTTCTCTCACGATGCATTCACGAGTAAGGTCGATTATTCATCCACCTATGTATTTTTGTTTCACATATAGCACCTTGAATAACATTCCTTCTTACTTTTTAGTTACAATTCATGTGAGAATTCGCTTTTACAGTAAAACGCGGTACGATGTTATTAAAAAGTTGGCGTATATCGGAGAGACACGCGAGTCTCTCTTTCTCTCTTGCACTCGAATATACACATCACGTACTCGCTCACATTACCAATACATGGACAAGATGCGCGTGTATATATGCATTCATTATGCGAAATTGCATGATATATACACGGGCGTGCATACGCGGCACGCGTATCCAGTTAAGAGATATACGTATGGTATATGTATGTACATATATGTATGAGGACATGTTTTGGTCGTGTTGATCACGTGCGTGCGTGAACGTGCTGCACGACCACGGCAGCTCTGTGTACACTTAAAAAAAAAAGAAAAACCGTAGCTCTTACAACAAGAATAGTGATTTAAGACATGCTTGTAGAGTATTTAAATCGCAGCAAAAGTGCATTCAACATGCACCACGAACTATTAGAGTCTACGTTGCGAATCTACGTGTGATTTCTATCGCACGTCCTTTTCTCGAGACTCGCGCGAAAGTGTTCTTTGATCTCTGTTTTACTTGTAAAGTCGTGTTTTTTTTTGTTTCGGTTGCGCGGTACAAGCGTTGATCATTGGAGCACACCGACAGCTTCGAAACGATATTATTTAAATCAATATTATTGTAGACAAGACAAACGACTGGTCGCAAATAAACATATTTTACATTTTTAATTGTCTTCTTATTTCTGGTATACTTATTATATATTCCTTTGTTCATCACATATGCATATGAAGATCTACGAAAAGATTAGCTTTACATTTTATAGTATTTAGTGTAATAATTTGCTTAGATCTGTTTGCAAATGACTTAAATATTTTTCATATATTTTATATTATAAATATTTCAAGTTACAATAGAATTGAGAATAATAGTAGCGATTAAATAATATTATTTAAAAAAATAATATATACTTATAAACACTATTTCTCTATTTTTATTGTAAATAGAAAAGCATCAAGGAATTACTATTGAGTATATTATACTATTATATCTCATTGTGTGTGATTACTGTGTTCAACATTTAATTTACACATTAAATTTCGCTTAAAGAAACAATTCAAATGGTAGACTGAAATTCTTTACAGGATCGTCGAAGCCGATTGTGACAGTAATAGCCGAAGCTCGTCATACTTCCCCAGATCCAGAAGCATACAGGAGAGATTCCTTCGCAGAACGGAGTACGTTGTGGAATGTCTCGAAAATATTGGAGGATCCATTATCTGATTTACCGAATTATTCTCGTGCTGAACAATCATTAGATCAACCGGAATCCTCGAATTTTCTGGGACACAATTCTGGAGTTTTGCAACCCAGTTTTCCCACGTTTGTCGAATCCTACAATACAGATACATCAGAAGAGACTTTAAAAGGGCCAGCATATCCACCATTTCCTTGTCCTTTTTGTGATAGGGCATATACGAGTTGGGGCTTTCGTAGAAGGCACATAAAAGCTGTGCACACTATTTCTCCATCTCTTAATTGCAAATGGTGTTTACAAGTGAGTTTGTAGAGTTGTTTAATTAATTTCAAAATAAAAAGCAAGTTAAATTATATGTTACATTTGCATTTATATGACGGGCAAGATTTTATTTTTATAATTATTCTGTACATGTATAGATTCTCCCTACGCATGCAGCTTGGAGACGACATGTGATATCAGCGCATAATTTATCAGCCAGTGACGCACATAATGGTCTCTTAATTTTGGAAGAAGCACATATGGTCCTGCAAATAGTGCGTCCTACCAAATTGGATACATTGGTTAACATTATTAAGCAAAGTTCACAACAAAATTGTGGTCATGATAACACTCAGCCTGATAAAGATTAGGTAATAATTATAACAGTTTAAATTTTTGTATATCAAGAAATTATCTGTATTCCTAATCTTTTAATAAAATTCATATTGTTGATGATACCATCGTGTTCGAAGCAAATGCAAATTTATGTTTTTATATTTAAAAATTGTAAATAATTATATAAATATAAAACATATTTTTAATATATATATATATAATATGTATACATAATATGTATATATATTAGGTGTTGGAATTAATTCGTAGCGTTTTTTAATGAAAGAATGTTATTTATTTCACATGAGCATTAAAAAATACATTAATGAAAGTACTTCCCATCACTTGAAACGCTACGAATTAATTCCAACACCTAATAATAATTATACATATATATTACTTCGAGATTTATACGTATATTTTATCTATGATCGTGAATTACATTATTTGTTATGTATCAGGCTGCCATCAATTTATTTTTAGCTATTTTGTCAAAAAATAATCTAAATATTGTATGTGTGTTTATAAGATTGAATATATAAAAACATGATGAATTAACATATATTTTCATATGAACTACTGTGATGAATAAACACATATGTTATCAAACATTTCTAAATATTGTTTAAAAATGTTTAGTAATATATATGATTTTTTTTATTTGTAGATGTTACATATTTAAGAAAAATTGTTATGTGTGGCCAGTATGCATATGAATATGTATATGAATACATATTATATTCCAAATTCAAATTTTATAATACCAGCTTGATCAAAAAGTTTCCGGAAGAGACCACCAGGTGATGCTCTGAGTCAGCTGATTTGAGTTCTTTTTTTTGGCTAGGTTGCCACATCTATCATTGACATTTCCATCAAATTTTATCGCCATAGTTTGACATTTGTAAAAATTACGCCGTCTTGAGTACATCTATCTCTGCGCGTGTTTTCGATTTTTTACAGTTTTAAAAATGGAGTTGAATTTGCAACAACGAGTTTGTATTAAATTTTGCGTTAAAAATGGATTCAATGGTGCGAAAACCTTGGAAATGTTGGGAAACTGTTTCGGCAGTGATGTTCTAAAGAAAACAACCGTTTACGAGTGGCATGAACGCTTCAGAAGTGGTCGTGAATCCGTCGAGGATAACGAACGCAGTGGCAGGCCGTCGACATCGAAAACCCACGAAAACATCAATGAAGTGAGAGAAATGTTGGCCAATAACCGCAAATTAACTATCAGAGAGCTGGCAGAGGACTTAGCCAAAAAAGAAAGGATTTATGGGTAAACAACTCGTGGATTTTGCACCATGATAACGCACCATCGCACAGTGCCATCATTATCCGTGAATTTTTGGTCAAAACGAATACCATTCAACAGCCATCGAATTCACCCGATATGGCTCCCTGCGATTTTTTTCTGTTCGATCGAGTCAAAAAACCACTGCGGGGAACGCGTTTTAACAGCCGAAAGGAGGTAATGGAAAAATCGAAGACGGCTCTGATGGCTATACCAATAATAGAGTTCCAGAAATGTTTCGAGAGCTGGATCAAGCGCTGGCATAAGTGCGTTGCAGTCACTGGAGAGTACTTTGAAGGGGACAATATCACTTTTGATGAATAAACTTGTATTTTGAATTTTCTGAATGAATTCCGGAAACTTTTTGATCAAGCTAGTATAATGATAACATGGGAAAAAATATGTTTTTTATGTTGTGTATATTTCGATATTTATTGAAAATTATAGTTATGATAACATAATTATAATAGAGTAAGAATTTTTATGGAGATCTATGATATGAATTTTACATTTTGTTTATTATTGTAACTGTACTGTAACTCTTTTCAGTAACCAGATTTTATAATTAACTATGTTGATCTTTACTTGTATTATATTTAGTAATGAACAAATATTATTATAATATTGGAATATTATTTTGATATTTGTTCTTCTTTATATTAATAGAAGAATAATTATTATTACCTTCATATAAATCATCAAATATTTATATATCTTTTCATGAACACATGCGCGTAACCAGTATTATTATAAATATATAATATGCTATTTATAATTTAGATTATTTATTTTGAGTTATTGATATTGATGAATACCATTTAAAAGATGTTTGTGTATTGATAGAGAAATAATTATTAATTTTCTGCAAATAATAGTAATAAATTAATTGCAAAAACGCATATTTTTCATTTTTTTTGTTGCAGTCATTTGTTTAATTAACAAACAATTTGTCATAAACGACTTTATTGCGCATTACAGATTTATGCTTTTATATTTAGCAATATATTAGCTTTTATATTACAAATTGAAATTATATATTGATTATTACATGCAATCGAAAATTTTATGAGAAATTGATTGTATTTTTATTTTTACTAAATTTTAATTGACAATCTTTTTTCTTTTCCAGATTAGCCGTAGTTATGACAAATTTATGAAACATAAATGCAATTAATGATTTTAATGTAACTGATCTCTATTTGTTTATAGATCAGCAACGTAGCCTTTGACAGTAATGCCTGGTGCTATCTCTGTAGTAATACTATCTTTGGCGTCTTCTTCATTCCATGCGTTCTCTTTCGCATACTTTTCTGACATTAGAATCATTTCGTTTGGACTCCATTCTGGTGAATCTTTGTGACTATCATCATTTTTGAAAGCAATATTCAATTCATCTAAGTCGCTATGATGAGATTTTGATGATTTTGGTGATTCTGGTGATGTGATACTTTCATATACAGGATTACGTTTCATCGAAGCACGTTGATGAGATGTTTTCCGCAGCATCGCCTAGATTGGTGAATGTCTTTTGAAAATTGTTATAGCAACATAATTTTCTCTAAAATTTGGTGTATAATTACCTGAGTTTAAAAATAATAATTTTCATAAAAATATTATATTTTTATAAAAATGTTTATATTTATAAAACATATAGACATGTGTATTTGACTGTGGCTATGTTTACATCGTGCTTAGTTCGCGACCGATATGATAAATGTTTTCATTTAACTTACAGAATAAACAAGCATATCTATTGTATAGACCGCGGCCTAAATGCACGATATAAACGTAACCACTAACTTTGAAAAATTAACATAAATTAACATATCTTACTTGAAAGTTAAATGGAGGTGCATCATCGTTTTCGTCATTATTATTCCTGCGTCCGATCATTTCTAATTCTTTGATAGGATTTATTCTATAATGGAAGAAATGATGTCACTAAGAAAAAATTGATTAATATCGCCAAAAATTTGTCTTAATCAAATAAATGAATACCGAATATCATTGTTAACATTGCGATTAATTTTGTTTTCAAATTCCCATTCTGTATTGTCATTTTTATTTTGAATAGTAATAGAATCTGACTCATAGTTATTGAAATTGCGCATTGCCGATGGTTGTGTTTGATTTAATGGTACTGATGGCAATGGTATTTTCTTCTTAGAGTGTACTGATCCAGTTTTATTGATCTATAAAATACAAATTTTTATATATGTATATAGAAATTAAAATCAGTGTATTATTACAACTATGTACTTTAATATTTATAAATTCTCGATATTTCTTGAAGTATTATTTTGGATATGATATTTTTTTTAACATCAATGTGCTATAATTTTGCATTTTGAAATATTTTAAATTATAATTTAAATTATTGAATATATAAATAAATAAAATTTGTATTTTTTTATTTTATGTGAAATTGAATGACAGAAAACTTGTTGAAGATTAAAAGTGAAGATTCTAGCAATAATTAAGTTTAAGGAGAAGAAATTCAGATTTCTAAGGAAATGCTTTTAATAAAAGTAGTTTTTAGTTATCCAAGATATACATGGTATTATGTAATCACAACAGCTCATAGTTTGTGCAAACTTACAGAGTAAGGAATATAAGATTCGGAAGATTGGATGGAACCGTGTTTATCTGCAAGTTGAAAACTAGAAATACTACGGCGAGATGGCTCTTCAGGTGGACACTGAATGGGAACATTCGAATCCCTGGTGAATGGAGTGTTGATTAAACTTTGCTCACTGTTGATGGATGAACGATGAAAAAGCATGCGATGTGGTGAGTTTGTTGTTTGAACTTCAATATCTAAAAAATGTATCAAGTGAGAAAGAAGAATTCACATTTTTTCACAAATAGTATATATGTATATATTGTATATAATATAACATGTCAGCAGAATGACAAATTTATTTAATTTTGATTTCTAGAACTTTTTAGAATTTTCTTATAGCAAATTTAGGTACCTCTAGTGTGAATATTTTTATTGGCCCAGGGCACGGTTTGTCTACGTAATGGTGCATCCCAGGACTCATGTTCATCGTCGTTTACTGTAGATGATATAGATCTGCAAGAATATTTTTTTCAGTTCATTTTATAAATTATCGAAATGCTCTTAAAATTCCTTTTTTTTTTTTAAATACAATATGAAAGAACATCTGAAGACTGACAAAAAGGACTGTGAAAAAGAAAATCAAAAAATAATATTTATCCAAAAATGTACATAGAACATTAACAATCTTAATCCTTCGGTGCCACTCTAAATATAGCATATTGGGCTTTCTTTTTCCTATGCTCCTTTCATTGCTTATAGCTTTTTTTTTCATTAAAGATACATTTTTATTAATAAAGATACCTATGTACATTTGCTTGGTATCATTATGTTCCATAATGTCTGGCATTTCAATCGAAAAAATTTTTTTATAATGTATTTATTTTTATGAAAGCTATAAGCAATTGAATTGATTGAAATGTGCTATATCCAAGTTGTTCCTATAAGTACCAAAGAGCATCAAAGAATTAATTATGAAATTATATTTGATTTCTGTAAGAATATTAAGTCATTTCATACATACTTTCTCCAAGTTTTATCAAATGATTTTTATGTAGTATTTTTTTTCGCGAACTTCATATTTTTAAAAATTTACTTTACCAAACTTTTACATGAAATGCATATTTAATTCTATTTCTTATAGTTTTCATTAATTTTTATTTCTATTTTATTAATTTTTATATTTACTTTTATTAAATTCATTATAATCTCTGTGTTTGTATATTTGCAAGTTAAATTAGGACATTTTTAGTTTGCAATGTACATTAAAATGGCAAAAAT